TAACACCCCCACGGCTGAAAGGGCGAGCATGTTTGGTGTGACGGGGATACGAACCCAGTGAGTATAGTAACAAAATAAATAACAGAAGCATCTTGTATAAAAACCAAAGGTGGCAGGTAATCTAAATTAAGCAACCATCGAAATTAAAAACAAACCTTCAAAATTGTCTTCTTTTTAATCTATGCATCACAGTTTAAGAACTATTTGAGTCTGTCCTGTAATTAATCTCATATTCCGTACACGATGTTCAGTTGTGGCTCCGCTTTGTGTGAAAATTTTAATCTCGTTAACATTTTCGCGAAATCTCTTATGTGAGATACGGCCCGGCATGTCTAGGTGGTTAGAGCGGTCGAATCGTAATCTGGGGGTCGCGGGTTCGAATCCCCATCACACCAAACATGCTAGCCCTTTCAGCCGTGGGCGTGTTATAATGTGACGGTCAATCCCACTGTTCGTTGGTAAAATAGTAGCCCAAGAGTTGGCGGTGGGTGGTGATGACTAGCTGCCTTCCCTCTAGTCTTACACTGCTAAGTTAGGGACGGCTATCGCAGATAGCCCTCGAATGTTTTGCGCGAAATTCAAAAGAAAGAAACAAACAAACATGTAAGATACGGCCCCTTTATCAGATATATGTTGCAAAGCATTGTGTTCGTTATATTTCGTACACGACGTATTTAATGGAATAAATATTATGATGGTCGCTGGCTGTGGCACAATTTTTTTTAATTTACAAACAAAATGAACAGGTAGCTTTTTTCAGCTTTTTAAATTGTTCGAATGTTTAGCCTATATTTTATTTTAACTTTTCCATTTCGTTTATATAACTGCACGGTCCCTTTCTTAACATGATTTTGTTAGGAGGGCGTGGTTTACGTAATTTCTATTAAGTGCTATACTGATAAAAAGTATCTGTGATATAGTTAAGAGGATACCAATTTTTTTTCAAGAAGATTTTTAAATACTCCTCTGGCAATTATATTTCCTCGTTTAATACTACACATTTTGTCAAAGCACTTAAAAGTTAATTGTTCGAAAATAATACCTAACTAATTCAAAGTATTATTAATATAGTCGTGATTTCCTTAATCATTTCTTAGACAACACATACGACGTCATGACACTGAAGGGGCGAATACAAGGGAGCGGTAAGCATTGCGTGGGGCCTCTCTCCTGCCCCACCACTGAAGAAAAAACTTGCATTTTTGCAAAAGGATGTTTATGAATAATCAAAAGGACAACTGATTTATAGTTTGGACTGGAACCAGGTGACACTGTGGTAATATGCTTTGATGTAACATTTGTAGAACAAACTTGAAAAACTTTTATTTAACGAGCTTTTAACCATAATTCTATTACAGGTTGTAAGAAGAATGCTCCTTTTTATAACGACTGTGTCCTCACACACTGATATTTTGCTTGCAAATGATACTGTGATTTATAGATTTAAATGATGGATTCCGGAAAAAAAGTTTGGACCCTTTATGAAAGTTTACGCCACCAAAAAAAATTCCTTTAAAAAATGCGTTGGCGGTAGGGGTGATCCCTCTTTTGTAAATATTTTTTTTAACATTTGACAAAAGATAAGATCAGGATAATAGCTATTTTACAAAATTTTCAACGTTTTATTTACTTAGCAGATGCTAAAATTATTGTAAATCCCCATATCAAATGTCCCTCTAGTGACTACAATTTTCCGTTGCTTTATAATAGCTTACCAAAGCCAAAAAGCCTGTTTCATTTTAACATTATGGTCAAGCTAAAATTGAGTGCGTAATTAAACTGTATTAATTCATTATTTCACTATATGTTTGTTTGCCGTGTGTTACTCATCACCAAAAAATAGTGTAGATCCTCCCTATGACATTGGCACATGGGTAAGTAAGAAATCTTTCAGTAATAAAAAGTCGCCAACAGTCAGTAAAACTAATACAAAACATTATATAAAAGTAAAAACTTAGTATAATACAAAAATTAAATAAAATACAAGTTAACTTGAAATAAAGAATAGCATAGATAAACCTGAAAGTTCAAATGACGGTGTAAATAGTTACAGCAAAATAAAACTAAAGAATTGCAGTGAACTAAATTAAAATTAGAGCTCGTAGATGATGAAGGATAAAATTAATATTACACAGAATCAGATCTAACACAAGATACAACATTAGTTAAAATACAGAATGAGTACATAGGAAATCAAACATAACTCAAAATAAACTAATAATACACTTAACTTTACAGAAATAAAACTTCATGTGAATATAATTAAGTTAATTACAGGAGTGATAAAAAATTTTAAATGTTCAAAAGGTATAGAATAAAGTAAAACGAAATTATAACCGGCTAATTACGCATTTCACTGAATAGGCAAAAACAGTAACAGTCTATACAGTAAATTGGAGGTGAACTTAGAGCACAACACTGGTTAAAATTCCAAATGTACTAAGAAGAATAAAATTCATAAACACAAATTATAAACCCCTAGATGATCACAGCTGAAAATAAGATCAAGCAAATCTCAACTCTAATAAGAAGAATTTTACATTCAAAGTAGGGATTTAAAAGTAATACTAATTATAATTTGGAATATTCCAACACAAAACTCCAAATAAACCAATTTAAAATCAAAACTCAGAACGGTCTTGGCGATATGGAATAAATATATATTAATAAAATATTTTCAAACGCTCCAAATTAAAACTAGGTTAAACTTCGCATAAATAGAAATTCAAATCTTGGGACAAAAGATAAATAAACTGCCTTTCAATAAATCAAAATCAGTTGTCAAAACAAAAAATATGAAGAAAGAATTACGTCACTATACGTATATCTATACAACTGCTGCATCGTATCTTTATAAGGACGGACCGAAAGCTTCTGTGGATCTTTGCCATTCAACTTAGATCATACAGAAGACCGTTTTGGTCATCTGTTATTTTTATAGAGTCGTAACACTTTTGTTAAATCTGTAAATTCTCCTGTCAACCTATGATCCACATTATCACGCAATGCCAAAGACAATCTGGTGGCCTGGACGTGACAGTCTTGGGATTATTTCTCAACAACCTTTACTGAATATGCTCCACCATATGACCAGACTAATTTTAACTTCTTCTAGTTTCAAAAAACAGAGAAGATGCAGCACTTACTAGTCATTACCTCTTGTATTTGTTTCAGCGTCAGGCATAACGTCTGCTGATCCCTTCTCATGAGAGGATACAGACATTCCCCACATCAAATGACCTGTAAGTAACAATTAAAGCAAGAGCTTACACCCTTCCCATTTTAGGCATCTTCTTGATCGCCTAACCTACTGCATAAGTGAAACAACCTAAATAGCTGCATCTGGAAAGTTTTGTGGTCCATAAGGAACCATGGACATTGCATCACAATATCTTGAGACACCTGCGGCAGTAGAGCTGGCGGTTGACACTTTTGAGCCAGAAGACCATCATAGGCTCTTGAAGTTGCTTTGAAGTCGAATAAATAAATGTAACCACTTTAGCTCTAAAATTCAGTTCAATGTGACACCTTGAAACATTTCATAACATAAACAATTTCGATCAGAGGCGGAAGTCCCTGAAACTCATATTGTGCCACATGGATTCACCCAGCAGCCCCTCTGCATACTATTCAATGAGGAACACCTCCCGGTATATGGAAAATCTTCCATACAATCTCCTCATGTCATCCCAGTAAGTGTCCAAATTCTCGTGGGTTCCATGCCTTTGAGACTTGAAAATAAGTGGCCTTGCGAATTAATCAGTTTTCCATAGAGTTGAATCTTTATATATTTCCAGATGATATTATTGTCTAAGATCTTAGTAATTTGTTATATAAAATCCTTTTAGATCATCAGCAGAGTCCTAATATGATCTTATGATCAGATCCTGTAAGAGGACCTCACCAGGAAAATGTACAAATTTGTACAAATATCCTGTAAGATCTTTCAAGGCCTCAAGGATCCTCGAAAAGATTTATGCAAGGTTTGGAAAGTATTTAGGATTTTCTTAGCAGGATCTTAAAAAAATTCTTAAAGGAGCTTTAAAAGCTTCTTATGAGATTATTTTGGGACCTGACAAA